CTGTTCCCTGTTTGTTTTTAAAAACAAGCGACCTGACGGTCGAAATAGCTCCACTGACCTACAAGAACATTGTGGTAGCCAAGTTGAGCAACACACATCCATAAGACAAAATGCAGTTAACCCATAAAAAAGTAGTTTGGTTCTGGCTGTTGAAAAACAGGTCAACTTAACTTCATCAAACAAATTGTTTACAAAAATAATGTACACCTCAAATATCAAAGCAATTGGGTTGGTAGTATTAAAGAAGAATTTGAAAATTTACCAAAAATTACAAACTATTTGCCAAAAATAGAGAATTGATGATATCGGCACAAAATGAACAAATCTGACAGAGATCCACCCAAGGTACCTACATACCAAGTATCAAAGCAATTGAGCTAGTAGTTTTCAAGAAGAAGTCAAAAATAGCATTTTATACCAAAAATGATATTCGTAAAAATATAGAATTGAAGTTATTGTCATGAAATGACCAAATCTGATAGAGCTCCACTAAAAGTACTTACAAACCAACTATCAAAGCAAGTTTTTTCTACTGTCTTTTATGAGGAGTTTAAAGGGGAACCGCTCAATCCCATGGATTGCACCAAAGAATCATGGGACACTATTGTTTATGTTGTTTACAATGTTAATCTATCTTTTGTTATCCATTGTTATTTTAATCCAGAAAGTAAATTTGTTGTGAAATTAATCTTAACTGTAGCATGTTCATTCCACTAAAGTTGAATCGGTGGACTTAGGCATTATATAAAAGTGATCACTAACATTGGTATGTTAAATTAAGAAAACATGTATTGTTTTGACAAATACTGGCCTTGACCTTAAACACCTATGATATAAATAAGATTGAATCAATCATAAACTGTAAGATATTACGAAAGCATTCACTTCGGCACTTAGAAGGATCACACAGAATACAATTAATATTTTTAAATAAAACATGAAATAGTATTTAATGCTTTTGCATCACACTAACACAGAGACTACACTGTTTCCAATACAGAACTAAGGCTAAAAGGCTCATGCACTAATGGAAAGTACTTTTGTTAGCAATATAGTGATTACTCAAAAACTTTATAATATAAAGTTTACAATGTAAACTCTTTACAATCACAAGTCATTGTAGAATATTGTGTAATTGCAGGTTAGTTTATAATTTTTTCTTGCACCAGGAGAGATCTAATTAATGGATGGTGAATTTAGTTACCAAGCATTATGTTAATTAACTGACACTCCATCAAGTTATTTATCATCCATGTTCATCAGATTTTTCTCTTTCCCCAAAGTCTTTTCCCAAAATGTGAAGATCTATGTGAGGAATTACCCAGCCAGGTACATGTTAAATTTTAACAGGTAGAGGTGGGCTTGGGTGGGGACGGTTGGTATCACACTTACTAGCATTACTGTCTATATCTACTCCGCCCCCAACAAAAAAAAACATCTTAGTGATGACTGCAAATTTATTTTTAATATTAATTAATTGATTTCTTATAAAATTTCTACCAAAATATTATTACACACAACATTTATTAATGTGAATAAAGAGTTTACTTTTTAAACAGTTATAACTATTGAGCATTTGCTCCTACTTTTTGTATACATGCAAATGGTTGCTTTTCAGATGTCTACAAGCTAGATGCAATAACAAGATATATGAGATATATGAATACCTGATGTACCTGAGTCTGAACTACTTTGTAAGTAAGTAAAATCAGCTGTAAGAGGTGAAGCTTCCTCTGTGTTATGTCTGAGAAAAATACAAATCAAGAATTTGATGTGAATAACGAAATATAAATAATAATCACCTTGTGGGATAGCTCCAACTAAGTGATTACCATTTTGATGAGATGTATCTGTTATGTCATGGCTATCCATAGAAGGGTTGTCTACACCTGAGAATTCATAGGCATTGTCTCTTGCATGGCTGTCATAGAAAATAAAAATGCATCAATGATAATTGGATAGTTGCTAGCAGTATTTTAATATAATTCTACCAGTTGCAACTTTTTTTCGTAGCAATGAAAAAAGTAAAAACGTTGACTTACTTGTCTGATAATTCTATATCACCTACAAAAAAAAAAATTATGAACTTGAACACATTGTTCTAATGGTACGATGGTATTAATCTAAAAACAATTTTGTATCATAGTTGACATAGAAATAGTCCACAAACATTCAAGAATACCATTATCATTTAACTATACAGCAATCCAACTATGGCACAAAAGATACCAATGAAATATAAAATTTCAGAAACAAGGGGACTGGATATTGATCTTATCTACAAAAAATAAGTCATAAGTTTACAGATTTGCCAACCAGCATGAAAATGTGTAATAACAAATCACTCACTGATCAACACAGACTTGTGATCTGCTACAAAAACATTACCTATAAGTTGTTTTATTAACAGGAACAATTACATGTATATTTAATAATAACAACAACAGTAAATAACGCAGTTATATTATCTTCAAGTGCAAATGACTAATTCTTGTCAATTAGTCACTGTGCATGTGCACCTGCACAGAACTTAAACAAGTGCGACGGCCTATAGACTGAAGAATGATATGCTAGTGATTTCCAATTCAATAATGCACATTTTTTGGTAAATACAACAAACTAAATTGAATACCTACTTGGTTTATTTCCACCCTTGTGTCTTAGTATTAGAATAACTAATATTACAATCACTATAATAAGTGCTACTATGGCACCAACAATACCACCAATTAATGCTGAAGAATTATCATTTAATTTCCCAGTATCAGGTTCAGCTACAAATAAATACAAATAAATTGATTAGAAAAAGTTATTAAAATATAAAAACAGATAAAATATTTTATGACAATCAATTAAATGTAATATTTTGATTCATACTACCAAATGAATAATCATGAACCAAAGTAGAGTAGAAGAAAGTATGGGTACCCTACTGTATTTTATTAGATGAGGGTCTTGGAATAAGCAGAATACATATCAGGTGATGGAATGACATCTTTTAATTTGTTAATGACAAGTCTGGATAAACAATCATCACCATAAGGCAATCGGAATAAAGTAAGGTCTAATACCACATGTTCATAACCAAACAATGATAGCAAACAATAGTTATAATTTTACCTTCAGTAATCATCGACTGTGTTTGACTTCTACTTTCTCCAATTATATTTTTACTGATGACAATAATATTATATTCTGTCGATGGTAGCAATCCATCAATTGTTATTTTGTTGCTAATTGTTTCCTCTGTTATTAGTTTCACTCCATCTGATGATATCCAATATTCAATATAAAATGATTGTAATTCACCTCCATTAAATCCAGGGACCCATGTCACATTTATAGTATTATGGGATGATGATAACTCAATATCCGACACTGGATATGGTCTACCTGTTGATGAGAAGAAAATAAAATGTACTGTAACATGTCTATCCTAACTATACATTCAAAATCTGATGATGTTCACAAATTATGTTAAGACAGTGACAGGGGATACATCAATATGTTATTATAGCAAAGTATATATTTTCAGGGAGTGTAGGAGAATAGTAATACTGTACACAGCTATCTTCATTTGTCTCTGGGATTAGTTTAAGAAAGAACCACAAACCATGTGCAGTTACCGGTAGCTCATGCAGAACTTTACTAAACTTTTCAGAAACATACTCATTTGTTTTGGAAGAATAAGCTACACAAACATGTTGCAGAATTGGGTCGGAATACTTTTGATGGGTTCAGAATAACAATTCAATGCATAAATGAACAATCCTAGACGCATACAGTCCAATATCTCAAATACCATTCTCATCCCAATACAGAAATTTCTCTTCTTCAGTTGTTCACAATACACTTCATAACTTATTTTTCGAGCAAACAATGACTGAAATGTGTACACAGTTCTATTCTCCTTTATCTCAGGCATATCTTGCAAATAGGATGGAAAAGTAATATGATACGGGTACTTCTGACACCCCCCCACCTCACCCAGCCCCAAAAATAGCACACACTACTATAGCATGCTTAGCCAGAATCTAGTGATTGAATGAAGCAAAGTCTAACATCTGGTACTAGAAGACCTGTGACTCACTAAACTGACCAGAACATGAGGCCTCAGAGACTGGCCAATCTTTAAGACAACTTCTGGATAAGAAAATAACTTTGGGAAAATCATTTGAATTAATATATCTTTATTCTGTCAGTAACAAAGCATTTTGGCATGTAACATTTCAAGTCATAAAAATGCAAGATGTCAGCTGTTTTGAAAAATTGCTCATATACATCCATATTTTAATTTGATGAAACCAGATGACAAGTTCATATACATTATGAGCAATGTAGATAAGGAACTTGCGAACTATATTAGAGAATGTGGTGCATTTTAAATATATATATCAATATTTCATAATTTTAAATATGTATTTATTTAAACTACATATTAATTTCTTCCTTTTTTTTTTAATTTTAATTATTAGTTTAGCACTTGACTGTATGTTCTCTTCAAACAGAATGATGTCGATAAAGTATTATTTATTTATGTAACATGTACTATTTCCTTTTATCTTTGCTCATTACAATGTAGTAATACAATGTAATAATAATATCTTTATTACCTTCTCAGAAATAACATTTTTTCAATCTGTTAATAATGATATGAATATAAATGAATAGATTAGGAAAGATTATTAAATAGAAATACAAATTAAATAGATTAGACTAAAATATATTATTATTCCAGTTCCTAGTGTGAAAGCCTATAGTACATGCCCAACTGTGTAAATAAATTTTCTTGAACTATCATCTGAGTACATGTACATTGTAGGTATAATTTAGTATTTACATTAACTATGATGATGCATACAATTTGAACAAAAATCAAAGTATTTGTCCCTTCAGTTTATCTTAATATATTTCATATATTTTGACAGATTATCCATAAGCCACAATTCTCTACACTCAGTACTTTGGTGGCGAGAATAAAGTGGCCATTGTATGACATCCCAATGCCAGATATAAATCATGCACACTAAAGAAGAGAAAGTAAATACTGTATCCAATATGTGCTGCAATCATGAAATCCTTGAAATGAAAATACTTGGCTGCTTTTTATCTCTATATCTGTTTTAACTTTAACAAGCAATCTGTTGGCTGAGATAGCTCCGCTGTTAACAATGCACATTTCAATTAAGAACTGAAGATATCATTAGAAAATAAACAATATGTATAGTATCAGGCAATCAGATTTGTGGTTTTCAACAAAAAGTCGAAAATATCACTTTTTACCAAAAATTGCAAAAATATTCACCAAAATTAAAGAATTAAAGATATCACGAAATTAACAAATCTGAGAGAGGTCCACATGTAGTACCTATATATGTAATATCAAAGCAATCGGACTTGCTGATTTTTACAAGAAGTCGAAAATATCACTTTTTACCAAAAATTACAATAATATTCATCAAAATTGGAGAATTGAAGATATCATCATGAAATGAACAAATCTGTGAGAAGTCCACATGTAGTACCTATATATGTAATATCAAAGCAATCGGACCTTTTTAACAAGAAGTCGAAAATATAACTTTTTACTAAAAATGACAAAAATATTCACCAAAAATGGAGAATTTGTGATTTTGACATGAAATGAACAAATCTGAGAAAGAACCATCCAAGGCACTTGCATATCAAATTTGAAAACATTCTGACTTGCGGATTTGAAGAAGAAGTTGAAATTCTAAAGTTGGCGACAACGACGGACAATCAGTAATATATACAGCTCCGCTGTGTCGACTTTGACGACAGCGGAGCTAAAAAAAAGAGTAGTTCTTATCTTTTTAAGTTTTTAAGACACTCATCATGAAAAAACATTATAAAACAGACCCAACTTGGTTAAACAAGTGGATACTAGATACCATGAATGACATATCACCTGGTGTGAAGAAGCTGCTGATAATTTCAATCAATTTGCCTCGGTGTATTATCAGAATGCGAGTTTATTTCCGCACTTGATATTATACAGATATCCCAGAAAATAGTCTGATACCGAGTGAGACTTTAACAAGTTAAACCAAACAAAACAGCCCTTTTCAGGGCCATGAAATCCTCAAAGCAGCAACAATATTTGACATACATGATAGAGTTATATATTGGGTTATTTTTTTTTCAAGGAGGTGGATCATTTTTGTTTTTTCCAGAACGCTAGATGTTTGATTTAAATTCATATTTAAATTCATACCATTGTGTACATTACTCAATCATGCACTGTTTCTGTGCCATTGAATTTTCTGTTTTAAAATAATACCACACAGTACCCCGGTACTATCAATCAACATTCATATATTTGCATAGAAGAATCTTCAAATAATGGTGAATATAGTTGGTCCTTTGATCATCAATATTTGCATGTGATGCAATGCCTATTCACAGCATTGTACCAAAAAATCAATCATTTTACTGGACATTTTGCTTTCTAATTTCAAAGCCTTATTTTATTAGTGAGTCCCATGATGGACTTTGGCAGATCCAAGATATTGCAAAAAAGCCAAAAAATTATTTCATTTAAAGAGAGGTTGTTTCATACAGTTTGAAAAAAAAAACATGTGTATGCCAGTAAACTGTCTGGTTATGAGAAAAAAAAAGGCATGGTTAGAATGATAAGAAGTACTGTATTAAAAACAATTTATTTTCACTGGTGTTTAATTTTACTGTGTTTTGAGTAATTTTACTAGGTTTTAAAAGTTCACAGATATAGCAGAGAAACAATGACTTCTATTATTACCTTACATGTTCACATGGATTTAATTTAGCGAAAATAGCAAAACAAGTCATTGTCAATGACACGTCCCCGTTCCGTTCATATTTGAGTGACATATACATTCAAAGCAGATCATGACCGAAATGCACCTGCATATGTACAACACATTGTACTAAATCTGAACAAAATCCATGCATGCATGACTGAGATCCGGTTCTGGAATTGTGAAAATACGTGATTTTAATGCATTTTCGGCCTTAAAATGGCCATCATTCAGCTATTGCTAAGCGGATCATGAAACAAATGCACATATCTATTTGTGACATGATGCACCATGTGTGTGTGAAGTTTGAACTTGATCAATCCAGACATGTCTTGGATACGGATCCAGAACTGAATTCTTTAAGAAAATGGCCGCCAGTCGGCCATTTCGAACTTGATCCGAAAAAAAAAATGACGTGCATCAAGGTCCTATTATGTTTAATGTAAGTACCGAATTTGAACAAAATCCGTCCATGCATAACTGAGATCCGGGTTCGGAATGGTGAAAATGTGCGATTTCAATGCATTTTCGGCCTTAAAGCGGCCGCCATTTGGCTATCGTTAATGGGAT